GTCGAATAATTTCGTGTCGAATCGTACGGTGTCGAATAATTTCGTGTCGAATCGTACGGTGTCGAATAAATCTGTGTCCAATAATTTGGTGTCGAATCGATCGGTGTCGAATCGTACTGTGGTCAAACGGAACACGCCCGTTGCGATCATAGGTAGAGTGTATATATAGACCCTCCGGCAGCGTATTGGACCGGAGAAAATTAAAAAATTTTATTTTGTGATAGTGAAGTTAGTTTTTAAGTACAGTAAATTTTTAGGGCTGTATGACTCTCCTTCAGCGTTACCCCGCCAATGGCAGGGACGTAGATAGATTTTGTGGCTCCAATCTTTTTTTTTGTTTTTCATTTTTTTGTTCCTGTTTAGTTTAGTTTTGTTTGTATCATGTTTTTTTGTTGTTTATTTTTTAATTTATTTTTAAATTTTGAAATGTTTTTTTGAAATTTTTTTTTTTTAGTTACTTTTGAGAAATCTTTCTATGGTAATTCGGATTTGGTATGATACGTCTCAAAACACGATATAATATATAGAGTTTTGTGACAGATATTGCATTCATACTTAGAGCGTCGTTTTATTTTCTTCATAGCGCAGAGTTTACACTTACGTTGTAAAATTGCAGATGAACTTTTGTTAGGAATTTCAACAGGGAAATGACGTCCTGTTAGTCGTGAATGAGTTGGAGCTAAATATAAATGTTTATGAACTTCAAGATTGAATAATCCTCTAACTACTTCTATACGGAACTCTGGGAAAGAAAGTTTTTTTTCCATTTTTTGATTGTACAATACGTGAGCGTTTGCCAATGCCAAATCCACTAAATGAAAAAATAATTGTCGATACCATTTCATAGTTTTTCTAATGGTTTTTGTCATAGATAACTGCTTATTTATATTATCGATAACTCCCATATTTTTATTATACTCACAGATACAAAGTGGTTTCACGATATCTTCTTTAGTTCGTTAATGTTTTTTACCGGTAGGGCTAAATCTAACTTCATGGACTGTTGTAATCATGTAAACTTCTCTTTTGTCTATCCATTTCATTACTAACCAGACGTCATTGTGTGCGACCTGAATCTCACCTTTATTTAGTTTATTCTCTAACCTTGGCATGAATTTCCTATTCTTCTTCACAGTTCCACAGATTCCTGTATCACGGTCATGTAGAAATTCGGCCAATTCTGGAGATGAATACCAATTATCCAAAAAATGATGTAAATGACGTGACCTTTATTGAAAAAATTTTTTAGGAAATGAGCTACAATGTCACTAGTAATACCCAAACCAAACTTTTCGTAATCGGTATCTGAACCTGTATATAAAATGAAATCTATCAAAAATCCAGTTTTACAATCAACTAGTTCAAACAATTTGATACCAAAACGATGTCGTTTCAACGGTAAAAATTGTTTGAAGTACAGCTTCCCTTTCCATAAAACTAAACTTTCGTCAATACAAAGATTCTGTCCTGGTAATATAGAATTTGAACATTTTTCTCTTTGATCGTCAATTACAGGTTTCACTTTTTTCAGAAGATGATTCACTATTTCTTCGTTGTTTGAAAAATGCAAAAATCGCAAGATTTGAAGATATCTATTTCGATGCATGATCTTTTTAAAAATTGGAGTTTCCAACAGAGGATCTGTGCTCCAATAATTTTGAATTGCACCTTTTCGAACGTGTCCCATATTGATTGTTGTTCCAAGAAAAATCCGTAATTCATCAACTGTAAGAGGTTCCCAGGACTTCATATTTTTTCGCGGGCCTTCAGGGTTTTGTTCCTGGTATAGATTTGTTTGTGCTGTTATCATTTCTAAAAGATTTAAAGTAAAAAAAATTTTGAAGTAGCACAATGGAGTATCATCTGGAACAGTAATAGTACTCTGAATACCAGGTGAACCTGTGAAATCTTTTATGGAAGGATAAAATAAGGTATCATAGATAACATCAGGATTATTTTCATCATCATCAATAAGTAAGTCATCATCTACAGCTTCAGATGCACCAGTCATATCATGTTCATTATCGGATTTTTCTAGTTCTGATTCGCCACTGCTAAAGTCTACAGTTTCAACATGCATTATAATTATCTAGTTGAGAAAATCGAAAAAAACTAGATAAAAGAAAAAATATCACGAGAAAATAAAGAGTAATGAGAGCAACACGTATATATCTAATACAAAGTTTTGCGATAAGGTGGTGGACTCTCTATATATAAAGTCATGGGCACAATTTTATCATGGGTTAAACTTGATGGGTTGCCACCTGGTGAGAAAAGTCAAAACTAAGCATAGGATTATAATGTGTACCAAGTCCTTAGTCAATTGTAAAATACTGAGCATATAACATTTAGGGGCAAAATATGTATGCGCGCGCGCGCGCGTATGTATGTGTGTGTGGAGGAGGGAGTTTATTTGTGTACATATACTATATATAAGTACTTATACGTATTTATATATACTTCCTGTGGAAGTTTATGCATGTTTTGATAGGCTGCTCAACATTATATATAGACGCTCCGGCAGCGTAAAGGTTAAATGTGGTATCCAATAAATGGCAATATACATGCGTTTACACAACGCATGATAAGAAAAAAATCTTTTCTCTTGTATGAAAAAATGTATGAGAAGAAGAAAATAAAAAAGTGAGAGAGAATGAGAAAAAGAGAGAGTAAGAGAAAATAAGAAAGAGACTAGGAAAAAGAATTAAAGAGAGTAGAAGAAAACGAGCAAGAGAAAAAGAGAAAACGATAAAGAGCGAGAAAGCGAAAGAAAGAGAGAGAGAGAGAGAAAGAGAGAGAGAGAGAGAGAGAGAGAGAGAGAGAGCGCAACGAGAGTAATTGCAAACATCATTTTGACAAATATACGCTTGTAGTAGACATATTTTAACGCAGTCGGAGTTTTGTGATAATAGTTGTGATAACAATTGTGAATAAACAATAAAACGATAAATTTTACTACGCAATACGTAAAAAATGCATTTGAACGTCCGAGATGTCAGTCGGGAAAACAAGTTCACGCGTAGCAGGGCTGGTCGTGATTTATTCGATTCTACACATTTCAAATTTGTCATATTGTCTAACAATAAGTAATGGTATTTGTTTCTCGGTTTTGCAATTTTATTAAAATTAAGAATAAAAAAACAGCCGTAATATAATTCGAAATGGTGAAATAAACCTTCTATGGCTATGAAACCAAGATTGAGGTGGCTTAAATAAATGTCAAATAGAATCCAAAATGGAGATCAGAGGAACGTTTCGATCTTTATTTTTTAGATCATCATCAGCCTCACTAAACGGAACAAAAAATACAAAAAATAACAAAAATTATAAATATAAAACTTATAAAAGTGAAATAAGATTCTAAGAAAATATAAAAATTGACAGTATTAATTACAGTAATGTACACTTTAAACGCACGCTATTGAAAAGTGACAAATAATTTTAAAGTAAATCGCAAACATACATACCTTCAAAGTCAACAAACCTTAAGAAAGCCGTTAGCTCACGTGAACATGAGAGAGAAAACATAACTTGTAAGAAGCAAAATTTGCAGATGTCAAATTGTCTCCATGTCTCGGATTCTTTTAAAAAAAATAGAAGAACAAGAGGATAATGAAATTATGAACAATGATTATTATTCTTAAAAAAATTTTTTAATAGATAACAAAAAGTCATGGCAATAGAATAATCAAAGTACATTTAAACGTCATGAATGTAAAAGAGTTAATGCAATAGTAGTCAAATATCAAAAAATACGTCAAGAAAATTAAAATAATATGAGTCATAGATAATTAGAAACTTACATGATTGGCAGATTAAAATCCGAAGTCATGATAATTTCTCACACGCAAACACAAACAACAGATACAGCACAAAACGCATTACGCAACAGGCAAAATACAAATAAGAAAATACAAAAATAAGTAACTAAGATGTTTGAAATAAACTACAGAAAGAGGAGAGATCGCAAGTAAGGGCTTATTTGCAAAGTTTCATAAGTACAGGCGTATACGCAGGATCAAGAAGTTCGGTATTCTTCATCATATTTAAGCCGTTTTTTTGCATCTTTATATGTAGCATTTCCGAGATGAGTCTTTTATTGTAAAATTGTTTGTTGTCAAGAATGTGAACATCACTCCATGCGAATTCGTGGCATAGATCGCTACGATGCCTGCTGACCACTGACTGTCGCTCATACTCCTGACAAAAATTACGTTGATGTTCGATCAATCTTGTGCGTAATTGTCTACTCGTTTGGCCCACATACGAAGCATTACAAGACGAGCAGTCAATTCTGTGTACTACATTACTGTTTGAAGTCAAGGAAAGCTTGTTTTTATGCACTTTTATAAAACTACTTAATGAATATAAATTTCTATATGAGAGTCTGAAATTTAGTGTCTTAAGAGATCTGGCAATGCTATCTGTGACTCCCGGTAGAAAGGGTACAGTAAAGTAAGTCTCTCCTTTATCTAAGCACGTTTTACTCGAAACCATTTCGCTCTTCAACAAATTCAATTTGTTATTAAATAATTGATGTAAATGTCTATTAATCGTTTTAAAAATCAGATTCAAAGGATAATCGTTAGACAGCAAGATCTGCATAGCCTTGATTAGATTATCCCTATGAAAATTTGATGAGAAAGGAGAATTGCTCTGTCAGTAATATTTAAAATAATTCCTATTTTTTGTTGTTGAGGGTCTTGTAAGAAGTAGTTGAGACAACGTCCAAAAAAGGTGGGCTTTTGATACCAATTTAGCATGAATGTATCGTCAACAACCGAGATCGAGGAATCGAGAAAATTAATTGATCTATCATCTTCCAATTCAATCGTAAAATTCAAACAAGAATGATACGAATTAAAAGTTCGGAAAGTTCGAAGAATAACATCGACACTCTCTCGAAGCAGCCATAAGAATATCGTCAACCGATGATAGAAAGGTAAATCTAAATTCAAAATTGTGAGGCAATCTTCCTCGAGATCCTGCAGAACGATATCTGCTATGATCGGCGAGAGAGGACACCCCATAGGAGTACCATATATTTGATGGTAAATAGTACCATTAAAAGTGAAATATGTTGACAATAAAACCAACTCTAAACCTTTAATGAAAGAATCGAGTGGTATATTAATATGGTCCCTAATATAATCCCACCTCCTTCTCACACTCTCAAATAATAAATCCAATGGAATATTAGTGAACAGTGAGACGACATCAAGAGACAGCAAAACATACAAGCTTTCAATTTTTTGTTTCGTCCAGTGAGGCTGATGATGATCTAAAAAATAAAGATCAAAACGTTCCTCTGATCTCCATTTTGGATTCTATTTGAAATTTCTTTAAGCCACTTCTACCTTGGTTTCATAGCCGGAAGGTCTATTTTACCAGTTTATTAGAATTGTAATTTTTTTGCCGCAAGTATAATATTTGCAAAAATCATGTGGAAAACAGAGAAATAGAATGAAAATTATTAAATAGTAAAAGTTGCTACGTAATGTGTAAAATATGTGTATATTGTTATTCAAGGAAATTTTTCTTGTTTTGACGCTTAAGTCTCGAGAAACGGCAAGATCACGTGTAGCGAGTATGTACGTGATTTGTTTCTTTAATTCTACAGATTTAAGATTCTTCTATATATTTTAACCCTTTGCGGACGAGCGGCGGATATATCCGCCCAAGCCTTTTTACCGTTGCGGACGAGTGTCGGATATATCCGCCCAACTCTCGCGCTACGGCTAGCGTACGTCTGTCGTCGTAGGCGATAAGATACACATGAGGATACTAGCCNAAGACGTCAAGTGGCCTCTCAATGAAATTAGAGACGACTACATTTGTTTGTTTATGATTTTGTTAGATTTCATAAAAAAAGTTATTTGTTAGTAAATTTGTTTGTTTATAATTTTTAGGATTTTTTGAATAATTTATTTGAATAACGCCTTAATTTGTAAAACGCAAATATGCGACGTGAAAATTTTCTTTACTGCACGCTCCAATACCTGTCGTCCACAGCGACGCTCGCCCGTCGAGCGTCTCCGTCCGCAAAGGGTTAATAGTATAAAATGTCTATCCTTTTTTGTACGGAATATTTTTCTTGGATATTGCGATCGACCGAAAAAGAAAAAAGGAAACGAGAATAAAAGTGTTATTAGATAATAAATTTTTCTACGCAATGTGTAAAATATGCGTATATTGTTTGTTAACAAGTATACGCTTCTGTTGGACTCATTTTAACGTGATCCGAGGTTTTTGTGTAATAAACCGTAAATTTTAATACGCGATGTGTGAAAACTGCATTTGGACGGCCGAGATGGTTTTTTAACTTGTTTGTCATCAATCGAGAAAAGTTCACGCGTAACAAGGCCGTGATTTATTTGTTCTACACATTTAAGATTTGTTATATTGTCGAAGTAATAGTATATCCTTTTATTAAGTTAGAAAAAAAGAGTTGTGATTTAAACGGATAAAATTTAAATTTTACCCTTTCTCATTGCTGTAAATCATGTAACATAGTATGTGAAACTTGTAAAGGATAGAATAATATTTAAAAGAGAATTAACAGGAACGAAAGAAATATTTATCATTCATTTTCTATTCTTTTCACCAGATAAAGATAAAATAATACAACCAAATTTAATTTGCGTGCTGTACCAACAACTAAAGTGTCAGTAGGTGGACAGGTATATAAAGTAATGAATGCTATATTTAATAATGGCAGTGTATCGAAAACAGTCATTATACATGTATGTGTAGAAAAGAAAAATCTAATTAATACTAAACAAAAAGATTCTTCAGGCTCCGGAGTCTTTAAACTAATGAGTGAAATAATTCGGTTGTAAGAGCCGTTTGCAGGATATTGTGCAGAGAATGTGCTTAAATATATATACATGTATACACTGCAACACTTTTTCCTCCGAAGAGCTGCAATGAGAAAAAGTGACTTGCCTCCGCTGTGTGAAATGTCACCGATCGGGTGAACCCGAACGAGAGCTGAACACCCGGACCTGTCAATTAATTTTATGTTGTGATTTGGGCGCCAGGCACGTGTTTCACGTGCCGATTATGTGACGTCCCGTTGCT